GGTCAGAACCAAAGTCCAGCTATCTGCAGTGGATTTCATGGGAAACAACCAGTATCCCTTTTCTTGCTTCATTTTAAAGGGCTTCCCCCTCTCCAAACAAGGAAAATCAAAGACAAGGAAATTACTCAGTCAAATTTCATTGCCCCAACTGGCATGAAATTTTGGTGAGAAATTTCATCCCATTTCCTACTGGCATTCTGGGCTTCATGTGCCCCTTCATGTGCGTGGAAATTTAAATAAGCAGCGCCCAAAACTCATCGACTTTTGGTTCTGCGAAGATGGTTGTATGTACTATTATCCTGCCTAAACGCAAATACACTCCCTCCAAGAATCATGGAAGCTAACAAAACAATGTGGGACGACTAGTGTACTGTCTGTTTTGAACAACCGCTGCCCACTTGCGTAAATGGAAAGATGGTAGCAGAATAGGGTTCTGTCTTGCCCGCTCAAACGACAGGTCATCCGAGCAAGCTGCGTCCTCCACAGGAGAGTTCGGGTCGTCCGGCTTCAGCTGGAGGCTGGCGTAGGATACCCAGCGCTGCCTAGAGGTATGCGCCACCAGTGAGTGACCGGTTAAGCAAGCTTGTGCACTCCCTTTCACTAACATAAAGTCTGCCTGGGGGGTCCGAAACCCAGTTACCTCTAAAGAGGACCTTCTGGAGGGTCCATGCTAATGGACAGGAGGCTAAGTGCCGGTGGCTTTAGGGTGGGCTTGAGGTTTAGGGTTGCGCGTATACGACGACAGCAGTCAGTAGTTGAGAAGTTGCAGGTTCTCGCAGAATGAGCGAATGAGCCCTTAAAATCCAGGAACTTCTAAGGGATCCCTTCTGGTTGCCTTTAAACATCATCTTCCTTTACCAAGCATTACAGTTGAAATGGCTGGACACACCTCAGCAAACCTGGGTGCAACCCGATCGGTATAACTCACAGCCTGGAAATGAGGAAGCCCTACGGGACCTGCCTCGATCGGTGAGCTCGGTAGGCCGAAAGTTGAGCTGCATGAAAGTAATACAAACTCTTCGCCCATATGGAAGAGGGTTCCGAAGCCACACCACACCCCGGCATACGCAATTGGGTCTCAAAAGGGACTACTCTGGGGGCAAGCAAAATCCATCCATCGGAAGCTCAGGGTAGTGTGATATGTCATCCCTCTAAACTCTGAACTCTAAAAGTGGGGTATTGCTGGAAAATCTCAAAATGCTGAACCCAGTGAGCGGCAAACCGAACCTGCAAACTGGGTGGCTCCCTTTCGTTTCCGTGTAGGCCCATCCCAAAAGGGCACCCTCAACAAACACACACACACACACACACCATGCAACTGTTTGTGGACACACCCACCTGCGAGAAAAACAAAAAAGGAAAGCAACAAACATATGCCGTCGACCGTGGGCGGCCGAAAGCGAGGGCGGCAACTACCAACGTCTTCCCGACTTGCAATATTTCCGGCCTCCACTTGCAGCGTACTGATGCCAACGATATATATATATATACACCAACTTTTGAAGGTCCAAAAAAAGACATCTAATTTGGGTGTTGCTCAAAATAGAAGTTGGTCCCTAAAATGACAACGGCTTCATCTGTTTCCTGCAAATACAAACCCATCCCATTTGGGTGTGTCTCTGTTGAGGGTACCCCTTCTGGAGTGGCTTTAAAGGGAAACCAAAATGTAACTCACCATTGTTGTATACCCCATTTTAAGCAACACCCCTATCTCTTTCGTCGGCACCGGTTTGGGTCGAGCCGTCTCCAACGCTGTCTCACAGGGGACCCCCGCACGCATCCGGTGAGGCGGTCCAGCAGGATGACCCTAGCGACGGCGGAAGGTGCAACCTTGTAAACGCCGCCCTACTTGGATGCTCAAGCAATGTGGCTGTGGATCAAAAATAGGAACCGAAAATGGAACCCTGGCAAAAGGAAACATGGACTAAAACCTGCGGTCCCCTGGTGGTTCAATTTTGACCCACAGCCATGTCAGGTAGCTTACAACCACGGTTATATCTGGGGCTAGTCCCCGTGGTTACGAACTCCCCCTTCCAAGGGCTATCAAATGGCCCCCAGTGCGCAGATGGGTGTTTCTAAACAGAAACTGGTCCCATTCTTAACGGTTTAAGGGAAAGACAAAAGCCAACCACCAGAGGTCCCGTACTTGCACCGACCATGAGAGATCTCAGCCGTTTGTGGCCACAAAAGGGCACAAAGTGTTGGTGCAGGCCCTAAACAATGTCCATGGGGCTGAGGGGTACTTTAGAACCAAAATGAGCAGAAGAGAATATGATTGCGGATGGGCAAAATCCTGCAGTTGGCAGGAGGTCTATCACATGATTTATCGGGTTTCAGGTTCTGTCCATCCACAGCGAGTGAGGTATTGCCAGCTGGTTCCTTTGTAAAACCCCACCAGAACGGGGTTCCCCAACAGAAACCATCCCGGACCATCCCTTTGTGTGAGCAGCTGTTGGAACATGTCACCAACTTCAAGCTGTCAGCTATCAATTATCGCGTCTTGTTTGCGTCCCCAACAACACCGGGGGGAAGGGTTCAAATCAGAACCGTGTACATCCCAAGAGCCCCTTGACTAGCCCAAAAGCCATGGCTGGATGTGGGTTCATCCCCAAACCAAACTTCGGGCTATAACTTCCCAAATAAGGAAACCCCACAGGGCCTTCATGCCAGGTGAGCTCGCTAGAACTTGTCCGCAAGCAGTATGGAAAGTGTTAACAGGCTATCGAGAGCCAGGCTCTCCGAAAAGTCTCCAGAATGTCGACAACCCGCATACGATATCCTGAGCTTGCCTGGCACCTCTAGATCCAACCATAAACATCATATACACACACAGGGCTGGCTCAAAATAAGGACCCCCGCGTCCAACGACTTGAGAGGGGAACAAAAGAAACCCCGCTCGTAGGGGGGCCCCCAGTTTGAGAAAAATCAAGCAACCACACGCTCACAGGAATTGTCCACTTGCTCCGCTGGCGAAAAGCAAGGGGATCCTCCAAATCAACTGAAAAACTGTGCTGTATCAAAGTGCGTTGTCGTCGCCTTTTCTCCTGCAGACTCAAATGAAACCCAATTTCCCTCACTCTTCGAGGAATCTCCGCTTGGGTCCCAAAACCCTTTTTGGGTTCCACGTGAACTTGTAGGGAGTAGTCCATGGCTAATTTGCGAAAAACTTGAAGATGGCATCCCGCACGTCTCTTACCACGTTGTTCCTTACTGAACATGGCCAACCCACGCGAGGGTGCGGTTGATTCCCTACACATTACAAGTGAACCAACCACATCCAGCAACCCGCGAGGCCCTGTGACGCTGCAAATGTCAGGCTTTCGGTGTGCCACACGAAACATGGACTCAACCAACCAAGCTTGTTGGTTCCCAGTGGGGAATCACCAAATGAGCCGTTTCAAGGAAACCTTCAATTCAGGGCCACTTTTTCGTTACCTAACCAGCAACCAACTTGCATCTTCAACTTCAACCAACTTTGCAAGTAGGTTATCATGGTCACAAGGGGCCCAGTTACCCCACTTGTGGCCATTCTAACTTGTGATCATTCACGTTGTAACCAGGGCTACCACCCATTTGCTAGGTTGGCACATTGCCAAGCAGATTTGGCCAGGGAGTTGGGCAAAGGCCGGCCTCCAAGGCGTCTTGTCGCGGTCCATGCCCTGGCCGGCCCAATCCGCGGAAATCTTTCATTGGGGGCAGACGGTCAGAGGCTAGGTGTGGATTCAACAGTGTCTGAAATATGTCCGCAACACAGTAGCTTTCGACTGAAAGTAGCCTTGATGAAAGCCTATGGTTGAGAACTGGCTGATGCCAGCGACTGAAACCTGCCAGCCAATTTTTGTCCATCCCACGGGCTGAACGCCGCGACTAGCGTGAACAATCAACAAGAATCTGGGTGGATTCACTGAATTGAGCAAGACAAGATATGGAACCATGACCATACTTAGTGGAGCATGGGAAAACAAGGCGGACACTCCAGATTTCACACTTTCATCCGATTATAAACAAAAATCCATTCCTAGCTACCAGCAAGCTGCCAGACATCACATCCAGAGGGTCATGACCAGCGGGCCCAAAGGGTCCCCTTGCGGCACTACCGGCGCAACCGCCTCCGCATGAACATGCTGCAAGTGGATCCACCGACCACACAGCAACCAGGATCCGGCGGTTCAAGCAGCGCGACAGTGACCAGAGGGTTCAGCCTATCATAGGCCTTGCTCAAGTCGAGGGCCATCAGGAAACCATCGCAGTGGCACAAGATTTCACCCGTCTTGCAACTCGCGTTTGAGGCGAACACATCAGCGGACAACAGCCATGACCAGAGAACGCTGATAGCTGGTGGGACATCTACCCCAAAACCAAACTTGGAACCTGCACAGCCTTGGGAAAATGGTCTGCCAATGTACCGGCTCCATGTTTGGGGATGTACGAGATCTGAAAATTGTGAAACCACTTTTGGTCGGTATTTAGAAGGAACCAAAAGGAAACCGAACCATGTTAGGAGACCGCTATTTTGAGTAGACCCTTCAAACATATACAACATAAGATCAACAACCCCAACAAGCCAGGATCTTTCAACGATCATAGAGTCAGAATCAAGCCGTGCAATGTAGTGCTTGTATTGTCGCGTTCTGGAGCTATAACGTCTATCTATTCCGAAGAAATGATAAGAACGCACCAGAGATTCCAGAAAGGAAATAAGCAATAATGGATTGTTGATCCCTTATAATTACGTTGCGTCAACTAGAGAATGAAACCATGTAAAGTATATATATATATATGTGCATATCTAAGAACATGACCTACAGGAAATCCTGCAGGTGGGTATGTGGCCAATTCCGGGGAACTGTCCTGTAGCTTGTTTCTATGAAAGTAAGCATATATTATGTAACTAACTATAGCAACGTATTGCTTGCTGGACTCTCATGTATTCTTGATGTCATGGTCAAGGACGTGTCGAGTCGACGGTTGACAAGCGCAATCCCGTGCTAATCGATCAAGCATCGGCAGGTGCTTGGAAACCTCCCAAACCTTTGCCTGACTTGCGGCAACATAGTGTTTCCGCTCATTTGCAAACGCCTGTCAAATGCTTACGCAGCGACTGTTGGCGTTGCAACTTCCAGGGATCGGGAATAACAATTAATTGGAAGACCGTGGGTGGGACAAGAATTTATGTCCCCCACCCATAAAACCCCAAAAGGGCAAAGGGCCAGTCTAGAATTAGGTTTTCTCTCACCCAGAGCCACGTCCCGCACCGAAAACCCAGCGGCCAGAAAAAAGAAGTAACGTCTGTGCCCACAACGATCCCAGACCCTTGCTTTTTCCATGATATAATCTGTACTTGCTTGGTGACTATTGCCCACTGTGCAAAGAATTAACTTCTTGTTGATCAGTGGGACAACACATAAATCATATCCCCACAAAGATAAATGTTAAAGATCCGACCAAATAGCAGTCAAGCTTGGGTATGGTTCCCTCTTTCTACTTGGTAGGCTTGTGGGGGCCGGGGGATGACAGGGAAGCAAAGGCACACCGGCAAATCACGAGTTGGCACTGTTTGGGAGACCACAACCTGAAACAAGTCTCCGGCACAGATCAACATGGAACCTCGGTAGAGGGTTTTGGAGCTGCAGCACTCCCCTTCTTTGGGTTCCATGTACATTTCCGATCTAATCAAAAACGGGCGAGAGAAGCACGCCCAGATACCATGTGCCAAATGCTTCAGCCAGTCCGAAACAGAGTTCTTTTCTCATCCACCTGAAGATTACTCCCAACATGGCGGCTTTCTTGTCGAAGGTCGGTATCCGGCCTGATTGACATGGAAAGCAGAAACCGCCGAGGATTCTCTTTTTGGGGACCCGCTTGCGGGGTTCCTGCCGCTAGTTCGAAGAAGTGTACTTGGATGTTCAACCAACTTAGAGGGTTGTAACCATGGTTTCTTCCACTAAGTAGCTGCTTGAACAGCCAAGTGCCCCTTCGAAAGTGACAACTCCCCACTAAATCCAGGAACTGCCCCCTAATCACCAGTGGTTGACTAATTCGGGCTATTGAGCCTTTCAGACATCTCCCAACCCCAGATCTCAACCCAGCGCTAGCCTTCGGGCTCCCAGTGAGCCCTTCAGACATCCCAACCCCAGATCTCCCCAAGCCATCGCCTTGGTTTGGCCCAGGGCCACCTGCAGCTCCCGGTGCCGCTCCTCTGCGTGCTCCTGAGACGAGTTCGGAGGCGAGGAGCAGCTCGTTCTTTGGACGTGTCCAGCCGTTCAAAAGTGGAATGGAGACTGAGGGGGCGCCAAAATGTTGGGGGAGTTGATGGAGTACAGGGATAAAACTTGGGGCTTGTGGCGTTGCTTTGGGCTTTTTGTTGGAGACTGCAGGTAGTCCCTGGCCGTTCGGCTTTCTGGGAAGAACATTCATGGCTCCTTTGGCGCTGCATAAGCCAATAGCTGATTGCACTGTTACAGAGCTCTGGGCGATCGGGATCCCATTCCCCAGACCGCTCCAGGGCCTGCGCCAGAAATGTCAAACCCAGTGATGCCATTAAACCTACTTGGGTGTTCAAGCCACTTGGCAAGTAGGATACAACCAGTTAGGGGACTAAAACCAGTTACCCCAATCATATCCATGGCTGTAAGTTATAATACACTTGCTAGGTGGGTCGAACATCCAAGTTACGCTCCGGTCGGGGCTTGACCTTAGCTCTGAAGCCATCACCCCGACTTGGCGTGGGGCCATCGATCGGAATTTTTTTTGGGGGGGGAATAGATAACCAAGGAACACCTTTGAATACCAAAACAAAATTGGCTGGTTACCTACAGGGAGAAATGCCTATTCACCAAATAAGGAAAAAATACGGGAAGGGTGGCTCGAAAAGAACAGGCCCCCTGATTGGACCCTGTCCAACACCCTCCCTTTGTTCCCTTCTTGAAGAGGGTCACCTTTAAGTTTCTGCTGATCCTGGGTCCGCCTTTCTGATCAACCCTCATTTTTTGGATTTGTCGGGTAGGAAATAATTAACGGCATACCAATCCCAAGAGGACAACAGCATACCAGTTTGAGAGGCACGGTTCAAGACATGTTTCCAATTACGTACCGTTCTAAAAAGCACCGCCAGCTTTCCGTCATTAATTTCAATGCAGCCCCTCTGGCTTCTTGTGAACTAAAAGGACACCCTGGTGTTAGTCTGGCCAACATCCCCCTCTTTTCAGGTTCTTGTTGGAGGCCGATTCCAACCGACAGACCCTTACCTTTCGGGTTTAGAGGTTTGCGTGGGCCTCAAACGAGACAATCAAAAGTGAGAAAGGGGTATACCCACAATCATGTGGGTGTCTTCTTTGAGGGTACCCCTGTTTTGGTGGTTTTGAACAAACATGTGTTTTTGTTGGGGGGTCCCCTCAAAAAAGACACAATCATATGAACAACCACGGAGATCCGCACCCATTGGGACCCCTTACCGTACTAATTTTGACCTCACCTATGCCTCCGCCCCGCTTTCTCCCCGCCTTGATCGCTCGGGTCTCCTGAGCGTCCGGAAAGGCAAAATATCCAGCGCCGAACCCAAATGAAGATGTCAATGGAACACCCTAAGTGGTTGGTGGACATGAAGTCAAACCCATGTCCAAGGGCTCCCCACTCAAAATTCACAAAGAAACACGCAGCTTGGGATTTGTGTCAACGGAAGGCTCAAGTTCCTCACAGAAGTGGCGGTTCCCAACCCTAGCCGCAACCCGACCTGTTGGGTGTCCGGGCTTAAGATATGTAGACCGGGGGGGGGAGAACAAAATCCTGCAGTTGGCGTGGAAAAAAGCCTACGGGGGAAAATCATCTACCAAGTGGTGCAATTGTGTATCCACCGTAAGTAAACTTCAGACTCACCCGGGGCAAGGGTACTAGCCCTGCTTTGACTAAAGGATTGATCTAATTCAAGGAAAAACCATGGTGCTTCTTGTATAACAAAATGGTGATGGCAATAATTTGCTGTCTTGGCGAGGTGTTGGTTCATTATATCTGGACATGCTCATGACTTCTGGGCCAGGCTGTGGACACTGTCATAGCAGACAATACAATTTTCGGGGATCAACACACCCTCCCTTTTAACAACCAAAGGGTGCTTCTTTAAACTCCGCACCCGTGGAACCCCCTTCAAAAACGAGCACAAAAAGGTGGTGTCAATACACACAACGCCTCGGTGACCCTAGGAACCGGGGTGCTCGAGTTCATGCTTCTTAGTTTTGTCCCCTGGGTTTTGCGGGGGAATCTGACTGAGTTCGCTCAAAACGCAAATTCCATTCCCGGTTTTCTGACGTCTCTTGAAAGTGGACATCGGCAAAGCCGCTGTCAAATCATTGAGGACTCTTGGGGATCCTCCGGCACACGACGGTCGTTTGACTCTTTGATTTGGACTCCTATGCCTTCACATCTCGTCTCGCGGCAAAACACACCATCCATTTCTGGCAGAGTTTGTCCTTTCCACTCAAATGAACAGCCTCCCTTGAAAAGGAATTCTACACCACCAGGGGGGCTGCTTTTTTATCCTACAAACAGTGGAAAAGGCAAACCATGCTCGAAACTTGTTCTGGCTGATGCTCTTGTTTCATCTTTCGGAAACAGCCCTTCGGGAAGTCATGTTCCGAAAGGTTGGGAAGCAGTGCTTCTCCAATCTGGTTAAGAAGGGTGTCTAGAAAAGCATGAAAAAGAAATGGCCCATCCCCTGGCATCCTTTTAGGAAAATTGCAAAGTTTGGGGTTGGCCCGACGAGGTGCACAAACACAATATAAACATGTTGGGGAGGCCAGGAAAGGTGACCACCAAACACAATACAGCTAATCCAGCGCCTTTTTGTTGCACCACGCAGCCTGTGTCGTAACGACGGTCTGCTAGATACAATGCGGGCAAAGGTACCAAGACAACAGACTACTAACAAAGGCTGCCCAAAGGAAAACGGAAAGTCAGCCGAGGGAAAGACTACGAACGAAGCGGTAGTGAAGAACAATCTGCAAGCTCTGTCAAAAGGCGGAGTCCGCGGCTCAACGTCATGAAACAAAAACATGCAGAGGGCGTGGCCACTGTCTGTAAAACAGCGTTTAGCTATGATGCAAACAAAGGAAACGAAAACCAAGGCCCCAGCAGCGGTAAAACCAGAGTGAAAGCCAAACAAAAAAAACAAAGAGCAAAAGGGGGATGGCCAAAAACAAAAGAGAGTCTATTGTCCACCTACGATTAATAAATGTTCCCACATATAGATTTTGGGGGGGGCCCGGACTGAGTACTCAATGGGTCCTAAATAAAGTTTTTTGCCAGCCCCTCTCCAAAAGCACACGCCCCCTGGCCTTGAGGAAATGATCAACCCAAATCATCTTATTGGGAATTGAGGAACTTGAAATTAAAATGGCCTACCCAAAAATGGGTCCTAATCTGGGTGAACAATAATATTTCAGCCTGAAACAAGGTGGTTAGGCGGCCATTCCCCGCATACACCGACCATTTGGGGTGAATTCGGTCGTGTGAGGTCGCGCCATAAATCACCCAGGCCAAATGGTTTTGACTGCATTGGAGGAACCCCAAGACCAAAGGAACAGCTCGGTCCTCTAACTTCTCCATGACCAACGACGCTCGCTGCTCCTCGTGAAACGAACGGACAAGCGCGAAGATCCTTCGCCCGTGAACCCACAAAACGCAACTCCGACAATTTGATTCCCCCCCATGTTTTTGGTAAATGTGAATGTGAGGATCCAACAAAAATAATTCCATCCCCCCCATGGTTTTGGTAAATTGAGGTTCCTGCCAAAGATTTGGGGGTGGGAAAGCTGGCCAGCAGAGACGAGCTCAGCTGGCACTGGATCACTCGAATCCCAGACCTCCAGCGGACAAAAAAGGACACCCTTTCTTGAGGCCCCATGTTTTTCGGCCCCCAACCTGTTTTTGGTAAACCAAGTAACCAGTTTGGGGTGGAAAAGCAGGGTCCCCCTTCTTTTGGCAGTAGTTTAAGGGACACTCCGTC